GGCTCAAAGTGCACTCGACTTTTTTATGATTAGTTCGAGGGCAACACATGAGTCGTCTTAGCATATTGCTTCAAAGAGGTCTCGTTCGCATCGCTCTCTTGCAAAATTTTTTGGATGCGCTGTCAGAATACGCCATCACAAAGAGAACTTTAAGCAGTTCAAAGTCATATTTCTGCTTTAAAGCAGAATGCAACTCAGATTCGAGGGATGGCGGAGACTTTCCTTCGTCTTCAACAGGTTATCTCAGCTAAACCCAAACACCGGGACTCTCGAAGCAGATCAACGTGCCTTCAAAACCAAGAGAGCTCACATTTGACCGACCAGGTAAAGTTTCCACCGCGGGTTCTGCCCGATTAGCAAGACCTCTCGCAGAAGATGGCCAAGTGGCTCTCCTTCGTTGCAGACTATAACTTTGAGGTGAAGTATAAGCAAGGAAAGAAAAATGCATTGGATGATGCGTTGTCAAGCAGACCAGATTATGAGCCTGCTCATGTCATGACGGTGACGTCGTTAGTGACGAGATTGATCCGCGCTCCATACGCGAGTGATGGTATGTGTGTAGCGCCGCTACATCTCTCGGTAGCAAGGGTTTTGGTAACTTGACCAAGAAATTGTCGGCGCGATTGCGCTCACGGTCACACACCGATATTTGTTGGATGACTGGATGCTGTATTCGAGCACCGATTCAACGGATACGCCACACATTGTGATATCTTAAGATAAAGATTTGAAATACCAAATACTCTATGAGACCCGCGACACCCATCATCTCGGTCGTGAGATAACGTACGACCCTTTCAAATGCGGCGGCGCCACTGGTCAGTTTACCGGTACCCTCCGGGTGCTGGCAGTCTATGAAGTATGGACTTTAGGTTTGGAGTGCCGAAGGACTCGGCGGGCAGCACGGGTGTAGTGATCTTTGTGGACCGTTTGAGCAAGACGACTCATCGTGCGGTGGTGTCGGACACCATCGACGGCGTCGATACAGCGACGCTGTTTGTGGATCGTGTCTTTCGACAACATGGACTCCCGGAGTCAATTCTTCATTAACAGAGACCCACGCCTCACTTGAAAGATTTGGTAGACAATCTTCAGGGTGCAGGGCACTAAATTTACTATGTCAACAGTGGACCATCCACAGATCGATGGTCAAACGCAGCGCGTGGATCGCGTCGTTGAAGCATCTGCGCTGAGACGTCGAAGCGCTGGGGCACTGTGCTGCCACGCGTAGCGTTTGCTCTGAACAGTATAGTGCATTCATCAACTAGCTACACGGTGTTCTACGTGAATGGGCTTGTTAATCCTCGCGTCCCGCTGACGCCGCTATCTCCTGGCTTAGTGTGACGAACGTTTGAGTACGTTTACTGTTGCTGCCGCGTCAAACGGATGCGTCTGTTGGTGGGAAGGAATAGCTGAACGGCTTGCTGATGTCAGCCCCCTCACTGTCCGCAAAGAAGTCGATGACCTCCTATCTAGTAGACTGAGTGTCCTACGACACGTTTGAGATGAGATGGCTCAGCGTAGACATGCAGAAAGAATATTCAGATGGAAGAAGCAGAAGAATTGTTGAAAATTTTGAGGTCGGAGACTTGGATTTATCCAATGCTTAAGACAAAGCTCCGTGATTAGTTTCATATCGAGAAATATAATCAGCACAAAGACACGCTTGGCTTTGTTAAGGAAAAGCTACAAAAATAGCACCATCAATCTGGTACCTTTCATCTTCGTTTCGACTTGTCACCAGTTCCTGCAGGTCCGCGAGAGACCGCACATGGTGGTGAGTTGAGCGGCTCTTAGCGAATCCCTTTAGATCAGGGTGGATAGTTGATTATTATTTGCTGGAGCTCAAATGTCGCGCGTGCCATTGGCGATCAAAGCGTGGGCATCATCTAGTTTGCCGCTTGACTCGGGGCCTTGCGTATATGCGAAACCTTCCGAGAAGAGTGCGCACCCACACTGTGTTATATTGGGCTTGATCAAGCCGTACCAGATCCGGCGCAAGTGAACGCAAAAGCGTTTGCGCTGGAGCGGTCCACAAGCACTCGACCACCAAGAACCTGAACCAGCAACTGGTTTTGAGCACGGAATGCAACGATCACCATCTCCAACGGCGCCAAGCGCTCCATTATCGCATGGAGCAACGCATACGTCTGCTCACCGGCTAGGATCAGCTTCGACAGAGTGCGATAGTCCTCGACGTTAAGCAGCCGGTGCACAACGTGCTCCAAAGCTCTTGAGGTCTTCCGCGCAGCGGTATGCGATCCCAGCATGACGCTCAAGAGCTCAAAGTGCATCGCAAGTCACCGGACGGTAATCGACTCAGTCGTCGTCATCCACCGCCGACTCTTCTAGACGAGAATGGTGGTGCCCACCATCGCGTGGAACGTCTCGTGGGTCGACGTCGTCGCCAGGGTTAAGCCAAGTATCTTGTGAAGTGGCGGGGATACCCCGACTTCGAGAACTCGTGGGAGTCTGAAGTGCCACTTCGGCAAGACTGCCCAGACATCGTAGACGCTTATGATCAAAGGGATCATGGCAGTTCACGTGGTCGTACGCCCCGCACTTCTCGACAATAGTCAGCGAAGGTGAATAACCATGAGATGGGCTTAAGCAATGGCTCTGAGCTGCTGCGGTCGCAGACTCACCCGAGTGAGAGACCACAGAGCTCGCGGGAGCGTGAGTGATCAACCCATACGCCGCAGGGCAACAATCCGAAGAAGTCGGCGACGCGCCTTGATTATGGCAAACTTATGGCGTTCCATACGCGTGTCTACCTCCCTGTGGCTCAAGTGTACGTTGTGTGTCGAAAATAATTTCTGATGCCGCTGCATCCATCGCTCATAGAGCTCTTCGTCATCTGCAGCGTTTCGCCAGGGACGAGCACCATAGGAATGCCCACATCGCGAGTACAGGAGCACCCCCAACTGCTGCTCCTGTGCGTCGTCGAGGCGATTGGTAGCAATACCACTTCCCCCGGAAGTCGAGAATTCAGGGAATGGGCACGGTGTCCGCAAGGTTCCAGCTGGGTTCACATAGCGCCGTTGGCGCACCGCATCCTCCTTGTCTTCCCAAGCTGGGAAAGGATTATCCGGCTCGTAGTCGACTCCCTCCGAATCCTCGACGTGGAAATCCGTCGCCCGGGGTGGGCGCGGTGCGTGGCGCTCGGTTGCCGAGGGGTTAGGATGTTCTGTTAAGCCGCGGAATTAGTGTCCGGACATACACATCGTGCAGAAGAAGAAGGGCTTTACCCGCGGGCGCCATTCGGAATCAGTAAGGATGAGTGTTTTACGTTTCAAAGACACAGGTCTCATCAGGCGGAGAATGCTTAAAGATGACCTGAAAACGTTACGGTGTCTCAGACGCCCAAGCCTCGTACGAGGCAACAGTAAGATATAAATTGTGGATATTCACAATATGAATGGGACGGGGTTACGCGTACCCTTGTAGGAAAGTGCAGGTCACATAAGATTGTGTGGTCGTACATAGTTGTGAATTACACAAGTTGTTGTAATCACACCATGGTGTGACTACACCGTAACAAGAAGCCACAACGTGGCAGGATCGCCAGTAGTGATGCCTATTATTTAGATTTGAAAATCAGAAAATTCTCAGGGTTTTAGATATTGGCGGCTCTGCTGCAACTAAAACAATTGAATACGGTTCCACTTTTGAACGAACGAGCGTCTTAATCATGTTAAGGTTTTAAGTACTTGCAGGTAACGGATTGTGATCCGCTACACTGGTTCTGTTTTTTGTAAAGAACATAAGGTCGGTGACTTCCTTTTTTTCAAAGCAAAGAGCTACGGCAGCCTCGCTGCACATGATGTCAAAAGCCTGTAGAAAGTTACAGCTCGGCTGTATCTCTGCTGATGCAGTAGACGCTTTGCGGAAAGTCAAAGCAAAATTGAGTCAGTATTTCCTGAAATATTTAAAAAATAAAGAAGAGTATTCTGAAAGACTTTCCGCATTATGTCGGGTCAGGAAGAATGTTAAATGTACCGCATGAATCAATGACGGCCCTACCCTCATACAGATTTTTGACGTGCAAATATAAGTGAATTTGAATACATTGTTCCACTGTAATATAGCATTAACTAAGCCGTAAGTCATCCCAAATAAATCCCCTCAAGCGAGTAGTTAAGTGTCGCATCTCAATCCGGTGTGGGCTCCTAATCATCAATAATGACAGCAAGTTGTGTGTTAAGCATATCTGTGCTGTTATACAACTCATGTTGAGACAAAAGGCATAGATATAAATTTGTAAACACGCTCGAATCGGCTAAATAACGAAACATCTGAATTATAAGGAACCTTGCATGCCAAATCCTGAAACGCAACACAATTTGAGCCCGATTTTGGCTCTAGTTGGCTCCGAATAAAAATTCACGGTCAGGTTGCGGCTCGGAAATGGTCATTACTCGTTTTACACCGCGAGAAAGCGGTGGTAGGACATATCTCAGAGTGATCTAACTTATGTCGAGCATTAAGATCGTTGAGGTTCGATGTGGGAGAATAGCTTATCCTATGAACTCGAGGTTGTGATAGCAATTCGCTCAGCTCTGCTCCAACACAGCAACACCGAATTAATCTAGCGGAGAAATTGCGCGACTATTGACACTATCATGAGGCCCTTGGATAATCGGGTCTCAAGTCAGAAAGTATTTAAGCGACAGACCTTGCGCATTTTCACTCACCACCAGGTCTATCGTGTATAGCCACAGGTTGGATGTATCCCTAGTAATAAAATGCTGAACATTTTCAGCGAGCTGATAAGTTATATAGCTGAGGTGACGCCAAATCGTTTCTGGGGTTGGCAATTGTTACCATATCCAAGAATGGTTTCTGCACAGGTACGAGATCTATGCACTGCGACCTGTCTAAACCGCAGTGAAGATTGCATTCGGTGCCAAAGATGATTTCGATCTTTGAGTGTCGGTTGGTAGGGCAAAGCTTTTTTAGCACACATTCTGCGATGGGCCTCAGCCGGGGTGACAATGTAGACCGAAAAATGCAATATCCTTGTATTTGCGAGTGTAACACTGGCGGGGTGTACATAACATTCATGCCCTGTATGTTCTCTTCACTCTCGATTGAAATTTTACAGCGAAACAAACCCGAAAGAATAGCCGATCTACAAGCCCTCATGGTTGTTTAGAGTCTTAGTTGGCTTAAATCTTCTTTCTCACTGAGTGCTATTGTACCTTGTGGGGATCGAGGCCAATAAAATAAGCTCTAATAAAAAAGCAATCTTATCTACGAGAAGTAAGACTTGAAGATTAGGTTTGCTACTGGTGTGTCGGTCTATGTGAACCCATGAAGCCGTGAGGCACCCTGATCACACCAGAGTTGACGTGCAACTATGCATGACATTAAAATAAAAACGAGTCACGATTCTGGAAGTCCAACTTTTTGAAACTCCTCGCAGAAGGGATACTCGTTAGCATACTGACGTTTTTTCTGATCCGTGAGATTAAGTTTCGATTACTCTAGTGCATGAGGATCGGTTTTAACATGGGTATATGACGCGACTAGACTGCACGAGCCTTTGATTGACTGGTAGACAATAGCGAGTAGTACCACGCACTTTCTACCCAGTCGAGCTTTGATGAATCAAAGGTCTACCTCTCCAAGCTTGTCAAATCTCTTTTGACGCTGGATCAAAGCTGCGATAACTTAAGTGCAGGACACGAATCTTCCTTTAATTTTCTGCTGCAATATTTCCTTACATCTTTCACCGAATGTCGACAGGTAATGTTGATTATGATCCGCCAAATCCAAGCATATCTGGACACAGCCAGCCTTGAGCTGAAAGATCCAGATTGCACCTTTACTAGACAAATAATGCGACTCTTTGCTGCAGTATCCATAGTTAAACTAACCATGGATAAGGTAATAAAAAATTGTAGGCCTGACGTTAGTATTTTTTTCGAAATCAGTCCATGCTAATCATACTCTTTAGTATGGTCACTTAGATTGACACTCCGAATGGCTATAGTAGAAATAGTACAATGTGTGCGTACGTTACATACTAGATATTGGTTATTTGGAATCCCATAAAGAAAAGCTCCAACCGAAGCCTCACATAGCGTGTAACTCGTATCTCTCCTAGTGGAGATTTGATAAATTATACAGTCCTCTTTGCTAGAATACAAAGAGCTATTAGCAAGGGCACGACGCAGCAACAGCTCTTGTCCAGGGCATAGTATGTCTTAGAGTGTTAGCAAGAGAATTGCTTGGCAGAGCTTGGAGGTAGAAGAGGCTGTGAACCACAGCTTTTAAATGTGACAAAAGTACCGGTTTCATTGCGGTATACAGAAAGAGTCTAGATTTTTTACTAAAGTTTATCGAGGTTTCGCTGGTATATCGCTATAGGCAAGTGTTTACAGCTGCGTGCACGGGTCTTTCTGAAAAAGGGCAGCTGGTTTTAAGTCAAGACACTTTGGAGACGCAGCGAAGCAAATGAGTGTAGGGTAGAAGAAGGTCTATAACTAATTATGAGCGATGTGACAGTATAGCGTGACCGAGGAAAACTTTATCTTTTTCACTAACGCGAAAAAGCTCTTCCAGTCCGACGCGCTTTTATTAAAGAGATCGCTTAATGATGAGATCACAGAACTGAAGCTGATGCTTCATCGAAGAAATTAAGTGCGAAGAGTGGAGAGGTTGTGCTTTAATTTCTATCAAATAATTGCTCCTCTTTGTTCAAGAGGTACCACAAGAGACCAACCACGAGTGTTGTCTCGTGACCGGTGCATGCGTCATGAGATTGACCTGGTACCGATTCTCAAATATTACGTAAACCATCCATGGACGATATTTAAGGATCAGCGTCGCAATTAAAGGAATTATAAATATTTTGGACCGTGTGGGTGAGATGGCTCATCTCGCTGCTGTCAGTGCTACTGTCGCCGAGGTATAGCCAGGGTTTTCTCGAAACGGTCTTTTGTTATAACGGCTTGCCATTCATTGCAATGAGTCAAGTGACCAAGTTTAGGTTACAAGAAGTTCCCATCCTTGCCATCCTTGCCATCAGAGTCACTCAGCACTTCAAAACCTAATTTGATATGACAAACTTCGAATTTGGCGTCTAACTTTCTCATGATACCTGGTGAAGCTATTATTTGGTGTAGCGAGATAGTAAGATATTCTGATGTGGAAGAATGCTTTCGAGCATATGTGAGACCGTAGCGTACTTTTAAAAAGTTGTGGTGACTCAAAGATAGATTGCAAAACAGACAGCTCATATATGTACTGTCATCTAGAGTACTTACAGTTGGTATTGTACGGTATTCATGTCACACTTGGTGTAATTGCTCGATATATGATATTTATGAACTTCGAGAAAAAGAGGTCCGAGATATACGAGGATGATCAGAAAGAGAGTCAGTTCGAGACTGACGTTATATACGTTTGTTGAGTATTAGCCCAGATAAACTTAATTCCAAATACGTGAGCTCTCGAGATAGCAGTCGCGTTTATTTTCTGAAAGGCTCTCGGGTCCGCTCCTGGTTGGAGCGCACAAAACTGCGTCTGTTTACGCGTACTTTCATAGTCAAAGCTTTCTCTGCGCAATGTGCAACCCTAATGCATTAGTGCTTCCCTTATCACATATATGATTACAATAATTAAGGAATAGCCTTTATAAGAGTGGAACAACATTTCAGATAATCTGGATATGAATAATCTCGTATTACACAGATTCTAAGTTTAGAATGCCGCAAGAAAGCTTGAGTGACTCGATCTCCAAGCGCGTTGCGGGACTACACGCAGGTAGCAGTAGCAACGTAGGCGAGGGTATAGATTTGGAAGAGCTTATCGAGCGCAATCGTTGCCACGAGGACTATTACAAGCTGGAAAAGTGCCTTGCGGACACCGACCGAGACTGGAGAAAGTGTCAAGAGCAAGTTAAGAAGCTTAAACAGTGCAATGACCGCACAAACCAGCTGCGCAAGGCTCAGAGGGCTGCCATGAATACAAAGTAATCATTGCGTCAAACCTTTCGTTCTGCTTCCTTATTTACGCAACTACCAAGCCCAAACACCTAGTTGTCTCTAACTGAAACTAAATCTTCTAATCCGAATATATAAAACGAAGTGAATTAGAGACAAAAAAGTTAAAAGGGAGCTTCAACCGTTCTACCTTCGCCGCCCGCATCATCTGTATTGGTGCTGCCCTCCGGCGCTTCTTGCTCGTCTGACACATACCAGCCATCCATGGTGTCAATATCCATTGCAGTATCCTCGTCTCTGCCTTCCTCCTCCATGGCGAGTCTAGCGTACTCGGCACGAGCATACCGATCCCAATCTCTGTACCACAGAAGTACTTGAGCAACAACTTAACAATATCAAAATTTAAATAGTTAAAAACGTACGTGAGCTCTGGCTCTGCGAGTTGCTGACGCAGAAGAAATGGGTCACGTTGTTCAAACTCGATAAACTTGCTGAGATTAAACAGCACGTTAAAGAATACGCCAGACACACGAATTTTGTCCGGACGAATAAAATCTTTGTGATAAAATTCACCCTCCTTCTCAGGGTGCAATAAATCCGACATCTGACACAAAATATCTTCAAACGGCACCACCTCGTGACCAAGACATCCCATGCGGTGAATCTGACGTTTGTAAAATATGCGCATTTCATCGGCGCGCAAAACGCCATCCTCGTTTGTGTCAATGAGCTCAAACCAATATCTTATACTAACGGGATTTGCTTTATCTTCTTCCGAAAGCATAAAATCTACAATTAAGTAATTCATTTAGTCCTGGTGAAATGCTGCATGATAAGGTAGTTAGTATCGCCACTTACAAATGAAGTCTTCATAGCTCATTTTCTTCTTTTCCTCGGTAGTCAGGGTTTGGACGCGGGCAAATGGACGTCGCCCCCGTTCAAAAATACGATCCACAATGATACGTGTAAGGGCGTGGCCACCATAGCGCACGAGGTCGTCAGGACTTAAAAGAAAGTCATGATCGGTGTCCAGCTCCCAGAATTTACAATACAACACGTAAAAATGTTCATAGGAGAAGTACGAATTCACCTGTTGATCGGCAGACAATTATATCTCAACTTTTTACATCAAATAAATGAAGGAGTACACTTACGCACCTTATTGATGTCTTCCTCCTCATCAACTGTGTTAAATGCGCTAATCAGATTGCTGCGTCTTAGCTTACGCAGCGTGATTCGGCCGCTACTGTCTCTATCGACGGAATAAAATATCCGCACAACTACCGTTAAGGCTGAATTTTGGCAGTCACACGAAAAACATTTTCATGAACAACTAAAGTACTCTCACATACCAGCACTAAACCTACCATATTTTTCCTGAAACTCAGGAGTACCCCCCAGAAACTCTAACCCAGGATGATACTTTAAAAGCTCTGTTAATATCATAAAAAATAATGTTGACAAGCGCGTAAGTCCTTAACTTCATCACAGCCTTTATCCGGGACGCACCATGTAAGAATGGAGCGAAGTCGTCTCGCTCTATATAGTCGTTTTTCGGATTTTTCACCTATATCAGAAGCCGCAACACTCATTACTTCCTGTTTACGAAGCGACCAAAGTAGAAAAATAGCAGCACATACTACTCGATAGAATCGTTCCACACTATCGCACGGAGCCATCTCCCGCATCCAGTAGCTCTCGAAAATATCTTTAGTAATGCGGCGCGGCGCTACATCACCATCAGCGCTCGTAGGACTACCTGTGCTGAACGCATCTTCTGCTGTCGAGCTATAGGATGACTTTAATGTGTTTTCTTCTGCTGATCCACACGTTGCAAGAATACGGCGGAAAAAAGGCGCATTGAAAAACGATGGAAATCCGCACAGATCCTTGGTTATGGCCACAAAATCCTCTACCTTCATACCCTCTGGAAAATCACAAAAGCGGGCCTCGATATCTATTGCCTTATGCATTATAGCGTCCCTGGACAAGCCACGCAGTCGACCGCGTCTGTTCTCGCCAGGGGTATAAAACCTGGGAAGCTGAGCGTATTTAATTGGCTCCTCGGTCATGGGGTGATCAGACTGACCAATTGCTGCCGCATTGGCCAGACTATCCTTCACTACTTGTTGCTCCTGTTCCCCTTCCATCGTTTCGTCCGTGTTGGTAAGCGTTGCGTCTACGGCGGGGACTGAAGTTTTGTCATGGTCTTGGACTAATACAGTCTCTTCAGCACTTTTTCGTTCGTTGCCGCTAGCAGCTTCGCAATCACCAGAAATCATGTCTACATCTTCTGACGATATTAACTTCTCCACTTTGTTCACTTCTACGTCAGCTGGAGCCATCACTGCTGTTGGTGTAGCATTGTGAAGCTCATCTCCAAAAAGACTGACTAAATGCTGATGACGTTTACGCGAGCTGGGACTGCCGACTGAACCAGGACTGAGAAACCCGAGCTGATAATTAGGCGGTCGTTTAGGGCTTCGCGAAGGCGAATCTGCCCCACTAGTTACCGCGTTAGCTGTGGCCAGTAATGTGTCTAAATTAAGCTCCTTGCCCTGGCGAAGGTCGGCCACCATGTTCTGAATCATCTCCTTTGTACAGTCCACGTTCAGCCACTGGCGAAATAATTCTTCCATTTTCATCCGACCCGCGGGGCACAAATGAGCACTTTCAATTTCTGACAGACGCAAGGAATCAGGGCCTGTGCCACTCGAACTTGTGGGAGACGTCATCGCCGCGTCCGAAGTCTCCACTCCAACAGTCATACGAGCGTCTTGAACCGAAAAATAGTGCAACTAGCACTCTTTCAAACAGGTAGCTCAACTGACTTGCCTTAATATGGGCGAGTACGAAGGGTAAGTCAGTAGTACAGATGATAAAGCGAGGACGGGTCCTCTTGATCCTTCTTCGTGTCTAGTAGTCCGACGTCTACCCGCCTCCCTTCCTGCATGTGTAGGCCACACCAAATGTATAACAATTGGTCGAATAAGCTGGAGATGATAATTTGGCCAATCCAAGCGGATCCGGTTAGGGGATATGAATTGTGATGACTGTCTCAGTACTTCAAGCAAACAAAATAGAGGTTTTTGTGATAAAACACCGAAACATCACGAAATACTTTGAAACATTATCCCTTCGTAAAAAGTTAATTGACTTAAGGTTTGACATCGTACATTTTCAAATATGCTTTGTCATCGATGTTGGTGATGAACTGTCTTTGCAGTTCCAATTCAGCTCGTCAAAGCGCTCGTTTTCTAGCGCAGCTCCGCCGATGTTTGTAGTCCCAAATCAAACGTATTGAAACACTGCAAAGGCTTTCGCGTACCGAGTTCGGCGAGCTATCGTGGTGCATCTTTTTGTAAAATTACTTGCCAAGCTCCGAGCGCACAAACAATCCAGAGATTGCTGCCAAGGATTTGTCGGCAAACATGTTGTTCGTACAGACACCGCCATCCATCTCCGTCTATACAAAAGGATAGGTCTGTGTAAAATTTCATATGCAAGATTTGTGCACCGACTATCTGATTTGGAATCACAATGTAAATCACAAGTACTGGTAACTGATACTTTCGAAGTTTACCCTTAGTCTTAGGTCAAATAATCGATTCGGGACCAACTTATAGCTTATTTTACATGAAGCAATGGTTCAGATTATATCTTCATTTTTTTCTTATCCACACTGTCAGCTGAAGCCAACTACAAAGTACAAAGTCGACTTGTCACGCCTAAGTTTATGACGTGATTATACGCAAATACCGTGGAACTATCGAGTCTACTATAGGCTTGCGAAATTAATGCAGATTTCTATTTGCCGTACAGCACATCAGTGATCAGTTTGTTTCTACTGAAGCCTTGATTTCACAATGACATCTCCAAGAAGTTGAGTGCAGCTTTCAAAATAGGTTGCCTTCCAGCATGTTAATGTTGATGAGTTTGTTAGCGGTTTTGTTGAAGAAAATAGTACCATCAACAAAAAGAATTGTCCTCTAATTGTATATTTAGTAGTTATCGAGACGAAATGAAGCCTTGTAACGCATTCTGCCGATCCCGCGTTCTAGAGTCCGCAAACGTTGACATGTTCGTTCGGATAAATAAGTCAAACAAGCTTCAGAACGCGACGTAAGAGCAAAATCTCGGCCAGGCACAATCAAAACAGAGATTAATGATATCGAACAACATGAAGTGCCAATATATTAAGTCGTGGCGACTCATTTGCAAATTGGAATGGCATTATACATCTTGCTGGATCACAAAGATTGTGATCACCCTCTAGCGCATCATAATACTTACGCTCGACGAAAAGACGACGAAACGCGATGTCGGGCTGTATAAGAGCAGATTGCCTTACAAGTTGGGTGTAGAGATCTGGTGTCTTTGATGCGATGCGCAAAGGAGCCGGCACAATTTATTTTGATCCAGTGGAGTTCAGTCATTCTCTTAAGAGACGATAAATAATCTCTTCAAGTTGATCTTCGTTGAAATTTTTCAATCTGAATGAGTCTAGGGTTCGGGGGTTTTGCTTTTAAATTGATAAAACGTACTGTTTCCTAGTATACATGTAGACGCGGTGACTCATTCATATCTGGTCTTCATGAACACATTATGAAACACACGTATGAAGTGTCTTGCTCAGTTGAAAATTTGTATTAATCATAGTTTATACAAGAAATGACTTCTCAATTGTATTAAGCTAACAATAGACACTATACAGTATCAACTCTAATATACAATCTAATGATACGTGAAGAAAAGAAGTTAAGGATACATCATCTCAAAATCTTATGATCAGAAGTCAAAAGATCAAAAGATTCGGTCGGGGGATGTGACTCCTGATTCGAAGCCTTCGTCAACCCCAAACATCAAGAAATCGCTTCCTAACTTCGACTGTTGTGGAACTCGAACCCTCACTCATCAAATTGGAGCCACCATTCTAAACCAATGAGCCAATTGGGGTCGCGTCTATGAGCACGTCAGCGGTTGACCGCATCAGCAGGAACAACGGCCGCCGGAGCGGGAAATGCAGACGTCAGAGGCAACGAAGAGAGAGGAGGATGCGACGGCGTAATCGGATGAGTGCCTGGCGATGAGCCAGTTGAAGGTCTAAGGCCAGCGCAGGAGTCTGAGCAAGATAAGTCGACCGTAACCCGGCTGGATACTGCGTGTGGGTCCAGGATTCGAGCCAATTACAACGCAATTGGACTGATCGTTGGGAAATGGCGTTGAGAGCCACGACAGAGAATACTTCCTCTTTAGATGAGGGAAGTTTTGATGGCCGAGAATTTAGTCAATTTATAAAAGGGTGTCACAGCGCGTCGCGCTTGTAATCTGCAAGCCGGAAACCGCACGCGAGACATGACAGTAACTTGCAAAAAGCGAGATGGCGCTTCACACACGCGTTGTGGCTCAACTGTCAGTTGTACAGCGAAGAATGTATTCGGTGCCGCTGTTCCCATCGCTCAAAGAGTTCCTCATCAGCTGCAGCGGTTTCACCAGGTGCGAACACCACAGGAATCGTCTAAATCGCTGGTACAGGAGCGCATTTTTTTGAGAGCGAAGTCGAGCGCGGTTTCTATCCATTGGGTTTACTTGTAGTACCAAGATGCGAGCTCGGAGAGTTTTTCGTTCATCAGGCTCAGCTTGTTTTGTAGTCGGGTGCCCAACCACGTAGACGACTAACGATCGAGTGATCGCGCCCTCCGCTTCTGTAGCGGGATCCGCCGTCAGAAGCCGTATTCCACATGAGGGTCATGGAGCGACCGTGGATGCGCGCGCATAGGATATGCCTTGCGAACAGCATCAAGCTGCTGCTTTTATTTCTCGTCGAGGCCATTGGTAACAATATCACTTCACCCGGAAGTCAAGAGTTCGCAATTCGCGCACACCATCCGCAAGCTCCCTCGAGGCTCACGACGCGCCGCTGCACCTCGCCCTCTTCGTATTCCTATCCTGGGAAGGAGTATCCGACTCGTAGTCGACTTCCTCCAAATCTTAGACGTGGTATTCCATCACCCGTGGCAAGCGCGGTGCACGGCCGGGAGTAGACGTTGCGTCTGTGCTTTTGGTCGTGCGACCCTGTCGTTGTCAATGCGGTGCGCAACTCGGTTACTGAGAGCTTGGGCTGCGTTTTTCTTGAAGCCGCGGACGTGTTGTCCGAAGTTGCAACGCGTGCAGGAGACCAAGAAGGACTCTTCCCGCGGGCGTTCTCGAAACCAGCGAGGCTGGGCTCTCGACATAGAGCGGATTGAGCAGAGGATCCGTGAAGTAGGTCCTGGTGATGTTGTGGTGTCTTAGACACGCGCGACTCGTTCGAGGTGACAGTCGAAGGCGAACTGTAGGGGCTCACAATCTTGATGGGGGGTTTCACGTGCTCTGGTATGGAAGGTGTGGGTCACACAATGTGGTCTGAACACACAATGTTGAAAATTCGCATAAACAAGAAGTCAGTACGTGGCTGAACTGCTTGTAGTTATCCATTTGATTGGGTATTACTATGTAGATAGAAAAAACATAGATCCAGATATATGCGGCTTTTTCGCAAACAAAACCGAGTGAAACAGTTTATGTTCTGAACCCAAGAGTTAAATCAGCCTGGGTTAAGGTTGAATTCACTCTTGGATTGAGATCCGCTACACTCGTTCTGGTTCTAAGTATAGAACGAAGGTCACCAAGCTTTCCTCTAAGCGAAAGAGCTATGTCATATGAACTAAGCGTGCCTAGTTTTCGTGAGGATAGTATCATGTCCCACCTTTTACACAGATAAAGTATTTGCGGAATGACTACGACTGCATCTAATTGAAACGGAGTTGCCGCGCATTTTGCTCAGCGGAAGCTTCGATACAAAGAGTATGTGCTCACAATCACCCAGAGATTGGCTTTGTACGCACCTAAGTGCGGATTTGAAAGCCCTTTACGATAGTAGTGGTCTATATTTGCTTTGCTATCTAAGAGTGACATACACCTACGAACTTCTTCTCAGACATATAGTAAGTATACATACACCTTGTATCTCATAATTAAACTGCCTTTATTGTTTGACGCAACGGACCTAGTTCCTTTACTGTATAAATACCGATATATCAGTATTTAGAAAGATTCACAGTTATACAAAAGTACAATTGCAATGTGATAGTCCGCAATCATATAGTACTTGCTATGCAAAAGCTGAATTCTTACTAATTACCGGTATGTACCGAATGTGCGTGAGAAACTGCATTTCGTCATCTATGTATAAATCAAGATCACCTTCAAGGGGAAATGCAACTTTTAAACAGTCTATTTAATTAAAGCGGAAAGCTTTCGTGTCGTGGCTTCAGGAGCCTGTAAGCACGTATAGGTTTCGCAAGAATTTCATTTCTGGTGCTTGTGTGGACAAGAAAATAGTGTATTGAAGGATTTCCTGCATAATTCAAGAGTGAAGTAGAACGTATTGCGTTGTCATGAGCTCCGCTGCGGCCTCGAGCGCTTCGACCGAGAGCGATGTGGAGCTAATGCGTACAATTTTGGGCGAACATGTACCACAGAGCGTCATCTTAACGTGTCTGAATGCTTGTGCATTCGACGTCAGTGCTGCTTTGAATTGGTACTTTGCTGAGGTTGCGTCGTCTCCTACTAGTGCTTCTTCTTCCTCGGCTCCAGGGCAGCCATTGATACAGGGCGAGGCAACGCTCTCCTCTACTGTTCCCAGTATCCAGTCAGGTTTCAGTCTCACACTACATCCACGCGCATGGCAGGGAATGGTGAGCAAGTCGGAGGCCTATTACGCCACACTCACACGGGGAGATCCAGCTTACGATCAGCTTACACCCAGTAATGACAAATTCTTAACTATTCGTTTACGTAAACGTGGCTGGCGTACTGGAACTTATTTGGGGGTCCCATCGCCAGCCACTCAGAGACCCTTTTTCGCTAACGGAGATGTTGTGACGCTTGAATGCAATGGATTGTGGTTAAAAGCCAGCTCTCTTAATAAAATATTGCAATGGAAAGCGCCATCTGAAGACGACCGCAATAAATTTGTAATTCGCGGTCTGCCATTGGGAAAGAATTTAGCCCCCGGGGACTATTTCTTTCTTACGAGCTACAAGTGGAAGGATAAGGAAATAGTGCGCAAAGACGAGCGTCCTGTTGGTATTAGCAGCTACAATACGAATGTACATCGTTGTTTTTTGGGACTTGATCGTATCAAAACGTAAGTGCTTTAATATTTAAAGTTTGCTTAGTATGACCTCTATCTTTGTTGCTGCTTTCAGGGCAAATCAGCGCTTGTATCTATATGCAAAGCTGACGCAGAACGCCTTAAAGAGCTTGCCAAGATTCGACTACCCAGTTGGCTCTAAAAATGTTACGATTAACATAATGGGGGCGCCTGAGCCGTCTGGAAGTACCATTTTACCAGAACCTCCCCTTTCGGTGCGTTGCTGTCTTTATTATGAACAAACCTTAAGCTTAAGACGTTTTTTTGCCATTTTGATCTTTACCTGTGTTGTAGCGTCGAAAAGACTCAATTTCTGATGAGATTCAGATGATGCAGGTCAAAATTGAGCAAATGGAAATCATTATTGGCAAAGATGTGTCGCGCGATCGTCTCATCTATTTCCTAGATGGTGCGGGCGGAGACGTGCAGGTTGCACTAGAGCATTATTTCATGAGCGTGTCGGAAGAAACAGGACCTGAAATTACATCAGCCGTCACATCCCCTGTTTCGCCCTCATCAGCACAGGATCGGATGATGAAATCAGCAGCGGGTTTTGAGGATGCTCAGGCTCGTGTACATGCGGAAGCCAAAGCAAACCACAACTCGCGACCGCTTAGCCAGCTCATCTTAGGTATCCCATCCATATCGGATTCATTTTCCTCACCAAGCGTGAAGCCAATGACAATTCCACCTTGTGATGCCGTGTCAACACCTAATCGTGACATTCCGCTCACAGTTTTGGTTGACGCTACAAGTACTTTTGTTGGTGAACCTTTACCTGACATGTCCCCTTCTGTGCCCTCTCCGAGTTCTTCTCCTGCAACTTCTTTCTTTGATAATGACACTACTGTTGCCTCAATGTCTGCTCTTGGTGGGCGTCAAATTACCGAAGATAAAGAGTGCGTGGTGGCAATGGACTCTACAAATTATCAAGAGAAACAGCAAATGGATAATTTGGAGCAACAAGTAAACCAAGCAAAGCATCAAGTAAGTACTTCAAGGACCGATACAGAAGGGGGTAGTAGACGGGCTGAGGCGCTCACTATTCAAGATTTTGAGATGCTCAGTGTGCTTGGCAAAGGCAGTTTTGGTGCTGTAATGTTAGTGCGGTTCAAGAAGGATGGGCGAGTGTTTGCTCTTAAAATTATAAAAAAGAACAATATGGATCAGGCAGACGTACAAAATGCTATTGAAGAGCGACAAATTCTGCAACGAATTGATCATCCATACATTTGTGGGCTAATTTTTGCTTTTCAAACAAAGGAACGATTGTATCTCGGCATGAAGTACTACGCAGCTGGAGATTTGTTTTATCACTTGAATGTGAAAGGCCGACTAAGTGTACAGGACGCCAAACTGTATGGGGCAGAACTTGTGTTGGCCATTTCATATTTGCATGAACTAAACATACTTTATCGCGATCTCAAGCCTTCAAATGTTATGATTGATTCCGAAGGTCACATTGGCGTTGTCGACTTCGGCCTTTCCAAGCAGTATATATATGAAAGCAACTTCGGTGTGAAGACCTTGTCGGGTACAGCAGAGTATGTGGCCCCAGAAGCTCTTGCACAATCTGCTGATGGAACACGAAACTACGGCAAAGCATACGACTGGTGGAGCCTTGGTGTTGTAATTGTACGTGACTGTTCTTTGTACCTCATCTTGCTGTCAATTCTAATTTCTTAATTTTCATGCAGTATGAAATGCTTGTGGGCGAATCACCTTTTTACGACGAGAATGAGCATACGATGTTGAGTCGAATAGCGTACTCAGACGTCGTCTTTCCAACAGACTTTCCTGAAGACGCATACGACTTGGTCAAAGGTTTGCTGTGTAAAGACCCCAGTAAGCGGCTTGGATCGGATTCCCTAGGCGGAGTAGATGCTATCAAGCAGTGCCAATTCTTCGAGCTTATTGATTGGAATAAATTATTGAAACGAGAAGTAAAGGCTCATTGGACGCCAAAACTTAGTGGAGAGATTGATACAAGATACGTGGATCCAGAATTTATTGACGAAGGTCCACCTTCAGCTGCCTACGACCCAAGTGCTGATGCAGGCACGACGCCTAGCAAACGCTTCAGTCAATTTTCGTTTAATTACAATCTCGCATGAGATGCCACTCGAAACGGAATACACTGAAAGATGTTACGCAACCCTTATTTTGGTCTCGTGTTCAGGCATTCAGATTTCATGGGCTTATTCATGAGCGGCTGCTAGACCTTTTAAGTAACCTTTCATGATGGCGTTGATGACGCGAAAATTATGCAAATCGTGCCTTTTAGCTCTGGCAGATCTACGATAGTTTTGCGCATCGAATTCTCGACCTATTTGGCTTGAATACGGCGTAACAAAAGTCCGGTTATGGTGTAGATTTTCGTATGCTTGCTAGAGTCAAGTCCTGGATACTTGGTTCTCCACGAATGGTAGCTATTCTATCAATCATAACTTCACACAGCTTTTGAAGCTACTCTATGGTGATGTAAGCGGCGATTGCTGTTGCTACAATCATCAGGCCGGCAGAAATGACCTGCAGTAAGCCAAATGCCTACGGTGTCTCGTTAATTGTTAAAGAGGAGGCGGAACATATATAAGCGGCGTTGCACTTGAAGCACGGAATAGCAGTTTGGCGGCGCAGCGACGAATGCCAACGGGTCGTTTAGTCTGATATTTCAAATAGCATGGTGCTAATCAAGCCGAACATTGGGTAGAACCTCGAATTTCGGAAAACCTCTAGACTGTGATGCAGATGCCGTGCCGCATCTTACCATTAAATATATAAAGGTTTAGAAAACATATCCAGAACATATCTATTTCTGCAGTTTGATCAAGACACTATCAACATTCCCATTTCCAGATTAGCCCTGTGAATCCGAAGTCAAATTGTACTTCTTCCCTGTGACGAAATTTTAGAGAATTAGGTCTTATGACTTGCTTCTCTCACTCATGTCGTTCCAGCGCCGTCCTTCTGACGGCGTCCAAGTATCGTTGGAGTGCATCTCAGATGCACCGTGATAGTACTCTATCTTCTCTCAGAGGGAAATTGTTGTATAAATTAATCGACCCAATTCGCTGTCTCTTCTTTCTCGTTCGAGTGATGAAGTGTGGGCCTCATTCATTGTGGTATGTGTGCTACCCGTCGGCCGTTGGTTCTCAGCGGTATCCTCGATGGGTCTCCCACTTCGGAGCTCAGATGGGCCAATAGTAATAGTCCAGATTCATAGTACCCTAGTGGCGCACTCACCGCCCTTGTGTCTCCATATGCTGGCACATTCTCCTTTATTAAGTGTTTGGTCAGCTTCCTTAGCATTATTAGTCCGTTGCCATACGTCGTGATAGTTGACATTTGATTTACATCATGACGAAATCCGAACACTGCTCATATTGCCGTCGTGCGGAATGGGCTCAGTGAAAAGTCTGCTTATTCTCTACGCATGGAGTGCGCGAAATGCGTCAAGTATAGAAGCTTGAGTGTCACAAGAATTTCACAATCAGAATATATCGTCCTCATTATTAAACAACTTCACCGTTGAACTCCGAAAAACATTGCACACTTCTTCTGTTACTTCAAATTTTCGGCAGACGACATCTTGTGTAAAACGCTGCATGATGGGGCGTGTTGCAGAACTGCTTTTAGCGTCGATGAGGTCGAAAGCATCGAGAACTCTCTTGCGCAATCTGGAGCTACAGCTGAGCTGTGAGCAGCGCGGCCGAGCGCTCTAGCGGCCTAATTTGAATCTTTAGCGAGCTAGAGAGAATACCAACTAGAGCGAAGTAGCAAGGCTGTTCTGAATGCTCAATTATTGGGCGGACAATGGCTATAGCCTCTGCAAGATGTTATTTGCAATGAAGGCATAAAGTCACAACATAAACAACTATTGCTGAGCGACTTAGGAGTTTTGCTGCTATACATGTCGCTCAATGTAATGAGTCTGAGTAGTTCTCTCATCATTGCGTCAATAATAAAAAACTCGAACTGTCTGTGAATGATAAGCTTGCATTATTGTTCTTTACTGAAGGATAACGGACATTCTTTGGAGGTATCTCCAATCGGATTTTCGGATAATATTTACTCATGTATGAAATTACCATTTGATATGCATACCGACGTCCAAATGTCTTAAGGACCTCCCAAAATGCAAATCGACCCCAGCTTTTCGTGTGCGAACGTACAAACCACAGTATTGGTATGATGGAAGACGTCCGTGGAACATGTAGGCTTTCAATCTCACGCCAAGCAATGCAGATAGTTTTATGACTCGATATCAAGAAACATATATTATTTTGACTAATTACACTCAAATTTAATCATGAAATTGCAGAGCAAACCGATAATTAGTTACTCGGTACTCTCTCGGTTTCGCTTATTGGTGGAGCTCAAGAACTTACCTCTGTGCATTTGCTAACGCAAACTCTTTAAGAAAATCCCTATGCAAAGTGCACAGCAACTTGTTGCACTTCGTCAATTCTGATGATCGTGTCGTAAGAAGTCTGAAATAGCTGTAAGTACGGAACACAAGTTGTTCGATAATCTATCCTCGGGATGCCTGGAAACGCTTAGTAAACTTGTGTCTCCAGCGGCAGCACAATTGGTTTCGTTTACTGCTATAAGAAAGAGCTGACGAGAAAACTTCCTTAGCGCTCCAACCGAGAGTCGGTGAGACCTCAAATGCTAAATGTCCATCGTCCCGACGACATGGGCGGGAAAAGTTTCTCCCATTGGATGAGGGAGCAGAGTTGGCGTTGAAGTCGGCCATGCTCCAGAGGAGCTTAAGGGCTAAATTACTAAATCTTTTTCCTGTTTGTCTGCAGTACTGAAAGCAGGTCGTTAAGCATCTTTGAGTTTGCAATTACCCTTGATCTTGATGATGAGCTTTTTGCCATCGAAAGAAGCACTCGCTCAATTTTTGCTCCCGCACCTTCCTTTCGAACCGAACTATTGTCAGCAACTGAGAGTGCGCCTTATCTATGGATCTTCTACGTAGCGATTTCGCCCTTTATTCAATAAAGGTAATGAGTTGATTGCCGACTTTCTGGGATCTATAAAGCCACAACAATCGCAGCACTGTCTTTCAAATAGTCATCAAAAGATAGATAATCAGCTTGATTTCTTTCACCTAACACACATGGCCATCGTATTTAACCCAGTGTTTTTTTTTCATTTGAGCTGATCTAATACCGCTTTGCTTCGTTCCCCAGTTTCCTACAGTTCGTGCACTGACATACTTGCGCTCAGCGCTAGATGCGTTTGCTGTTTTTTAATTAGTATCACTAACAACTTTGGTATCTACCGCGTGACGTGCACTTCGTGTGCACCTTAACATCATCCTACCCTTTTGTTTTTTCGTCGCTAATAAAAAAGAAATAGGTTTACAAATCAGTAGCACGAAGTTGATAACGTTAAAGGCTTCGTAACGTCTTCATGTTCCAACCTGGCGCAATTGTTTAAAAACTTTCACCAATGTAAACAACTTTGCTGCAGGGATAGAAGAAGTTGCGTTTAAGATATCTCATGCTGTTCTGGAACCCATTGTATGTATCGTAAAACGAGTTTTCGCAGTTCACACTTCGTCGCATACTCCACTTCATGGTGTTTTTCATGTTCATTTCAAAATCACTAAGCCGAATGCGACGCTGCTCGAAGTTATTCAAGGCAAGAATGTTGGCTACGTCGGAAGGATCCTAAAATTAACAGCGTTCCGTGATGCCTTGATAAGGAACACTACGAATAAAGCTAATTTATGTAGCATAGTTGTCGATGAAAATTTGTCAGTCAAATTCTTGGCCAAGACGTCATGCACGGAAGTCATTGTTTGTTGGACTCATTACGTAGCAACGATGGAGCGAGAGGTGAAAGAAGAGTTGCGCAAGAAATCGAGCGATGAATGTCGGAAGTAGAAGGAAAACTGTAAAGTGATCGCTTAGCTCGACGAATCCATTATCTTTGCGATCTATCCGTCTAAACATGTCAGGTCATTGAATGACGTCATGGATTTACACGTAGACAAGGTCGTATTGACAACACTTCCGGAAATTGAAGGCAGTCTAGCCTTCTTTGATTTTCTGGATGAGGTTGAGCTTCTCGTGAGACTGGGCATAAAACAGTTCTGGATCTTGTAGTTTTGCCATATGCGACACGGCAAACCGCGATAAGCGGCGATACCTGCGCGGCAGGGGGAGAGCGTAACCAAAAGAGAAAGCTGTGGGCAAAGTTGTGACGGTAGCAAGAGCGGTAGAGAAATAAATGAATTTTCGGGCCCACTGTAATTTTTTCTAGCAGATTGAAAATGAAAACGTTTGATTCTGATCCAGTGATGCTGTAACTGCAAAAGATTTTTTTGCTTCTTGTTGAGCCTTCCCTGTAGCTTTCGTGCGGCATACGCCACAGAGCCATAGAACATGTTAAATCTATCGTCCGTTTGGGTTAAAAACTCAACGTCATGCACCAGCGTGATTTGTGTAACATTTCTTAACTCATGACAGGCTTAAGAACAAAGTAGGCGCAGGCGTTCTTTGCAAATCTGATAGCCACATACTTCGTGTATGATGCGGCATCTTGAAAGATATGAAAGCATCACTCGACCAGCGATTGGACTGCTCTAAATCCTATCGACGCTTCGACTCAAGTCGCGTAGCGCTCTAAGTGGCTTGCGAAGCGCTCTGTCACCAATCTGTGTCGCATCTACTTCGACACCAAAGCGTGTTCACCGGGCCGTTTCATTGGAAGATCCGGCATTAGTATATCTCGATTCTGCAATCACTTAAGGACTCCGAGTACTTTTTGCATTAGTACCGCATTGAGCACAAGGTCTGGCTTTGCTCCAGCAGCTTCGCGCTTGAGGGCGCTGTAAATTTTACTGACATCTATTTGACTACCTGAAGGTTAAGTCTGCGATCAAGAGTGAAACCGAGATCGTCCGGGCCAGGTACGTCCTGCAAAACCCTCTGGTAAATCTAAGACACGTCGAAGTTGAACATCAAGTTGTATTTACGATATATACAGAGGAAGTTCCAACAGCAGCATTTGGAGCCGTTTAATCAGCCCGTGTTGCGCTGGACCAAAACGTCGTACAGTATCTCGTATCGTCGAGCTTAACGACCGTGGTTCTTCGACG